GCAGGCTCCTCCAGCTGCTGGGGAGGCTCTTCTGCAAGATGAAGAATGAGGATGGGTGGTGGGGTGGGGGCTCCCTGGATACCCATGTATGTCCCTAAACACAGGTAAAAAGCCCCACAGCATCCATGGTCTCCGTGGGGACGGGAAAAAAAGGGATGTGCAGATGGGGGGAGCATGGGTCCCCTGCACCCCAGCCACAAGGAGAGAACAATCTCCTCTGTTGCCTCCACAGCCACAGCCCAGGCAGTGCCATCCCCCTCTGCAATAGTAAACCACGGCACAGGCACCGCTGTGCCTCATAGCACTGGAGGAACTTGTGGCAGTTCCCAGGATGGACCCCAGCTGCTGCTCTGCCCCCTGACCAACCACAGCCCCTCTGCTGGGACAAGCACACCCGGATTGCCCTGTGGTAGGATATGGAGGGGACAAGAGGACAGGGTCTGCTCTACCACGTCCTACACACACACACACCACCGCTTCTCACCTCCAGCCATGTCATCTTCTCGCTGGGGTCAAACCCATCCCACAGGTCTTGCTCATGGGTCTCATCAGGTACCAAAGGAAAGGAACCGAAAAACAAGCGGTACACCTGCACCGAGACAGGAGCAGGGCTGCCAGGTGCGCTGGGAGCAGAGGCACCTGCTTGCCCAGCAACGCCCTGGCATGGGGTGGCACGACAGGATAAATCCCAGCTGGGTGCCTGCTGACCCCCACCCTGTGGGTCTGATGGTCAGGGCTCAGCCTGGGCCAGGACGTGGCTATTCACGGGGCAGCACAGACCCCTGCAAAGCCTGGCAATTACCCCCCTCCCCGTGGGTCATCACCCACCTCCCGCAGGTCGATGCTGGAGCCCAGGAGCAACTCGGCCGTGCTGTTGGGGAGGGACAGGTTCTGCATGAGGAAGCGCTGTAGTTCGCCCTGGTCCTTGGCTGCCCATGCCAGTGTGAAGCCAGACCCTGGCAAGGAGCAAGGTGGAGGGTCAGAGCAGTCCACCAGTATCAGGGACATGGCATGACCCCACAGCAGGCTTTGCCCAACACAGCGATGCGGGACAGTGGCAGGGCACTACCATACACCATCACATCACTGGTGCCAGGCAGGTGGGCATCTCTGTCCCTGCCCATGCAGGCAGCAGTGGTAGACAGGGCACAGCCCACCTGCTCGGCTACTGAAGTGAGTCTCCATGGAGCTGGTCTCGGGGCTGCTGAGGGCCTCCATGTGCCGGCGAAGCGATTCCAGCTCCTCCTCCAACCCTGGGTGCTGCGGGTCAAAGAGGCTGCTCTGCTCCACGGCCTCGCTGAGGTGCTCCAGGAGCTGCGTCACCCTGCAAGAGCCCAGCACCACCCTCGTTTCAGGGACAGAAAGGCAATGAGCCCCTCAGGCGCAGGGGGCAGCAGTGCTGCCTGAAACGGGGCATGACTGCCCTCGTCTGTGCACTGAATCCACTCTGACAGGGCACAGGGGAGCCCCAGCACCTCGAGGTGTCCCTAGGGGCTACCTCTGTCCTCCTCCCAGCATGGAGCACCCAGGGGAACAGGCTGAGTCGTTCCTTGCACCCTGAGGACACAGTGCTCTGCACCCAAGCACTTTGGGGGACACCAGCTTGTGCCTCATCCCCAGGGCGGCAGTGCCAGCATGGGAAGGGGCAGGCTGTGTGCAGGAGCATGCAGGAGGGTGCAGGCTGGGAGGGGAAGTGCGTGGTGAGGGCAGAACTCACGTGGAGTTGGAGTACTGCAGGAAGCCAAACTCATCACGCTGGCCGTCGGGGCACAGGGACTGCATGACGGGCAGGATCCCAGCAGAGGTGAGCGGGGCTGCCGTGTAGAAAGCTGGAGCCAGCAAGAGTGCAGCAGAGGCCAGGGAAGGTGTGGGCAGGAGGCAGGAGAGGCAGGGAGAGGGGAAGAGGCCACCAGAGAAACAGACACTCAGTTCAGAGAAGTGTGCACCAGGGTCTGGGAGCCCACAGGAGGCTGGCGGTCATGGTCAGAATTAGCAGCTTGCCCACTAGGGCTGTCCTGGCTGGTGACCCCATGGGGCTCCTGCTACCCTGGCTCTTGTCCCCACCCACTCCCCTCTGGGTGGCAGGTCTCTTGAGCCCCAGGACAATGCCAACTTCTGCTGCTTGTCCCCAGGACGGCCGCCAACCTCCTCAGGGCTCCCGGCCCCTCCTGTTAGTAACCTCAGAGTCACCGCTGGATCTCCAGAGGAAGAGAAGGAAGAATACAACAGGGAAAAAAAGAGTTTTCACCTGCAGCTCCCAGAGCACCCAGCCTCCCTCCGACCCAGCTGCCCCAACGTGCAGCTGCTGGAGATGGGTAGAAATGAAAACACAGAGGGAGAGATGGAAGAAACAAGGAGAGCAGAAACAAGGAGGGGCCAGTAAACCTTCCCCCCTCCGCCGGCACTGAGCCATTGTCCCTGCCACAACCTTTCCATGTCTTTCCCTGGGGCAGGGCAAGCCGAGAATAGCCCTGCCCGATGGGGACCAGAGGTTGTCACCAGGTAGTACCAGGCAGGGACCCTGCTCTCACCACCCCAGCCAGTGGCCCTGTGGTTAGAGGTGGATCAGTGCTGTTAGCACAGCCACGAACAGCAGGGGCTGGTGAAGATGGGCTTCTGGCAGGGAACAGGGACAGCCCAGGGCAGGGACAGGTGCAGCACAGGATGGGACAGCAGCCTTCTGGGGTGATGGAACCCACACTGGTGGCCATGATACAGTTGGTGACAGCATCAAGTGCATGGGTGGAATCTTCCTGGCCTCCAGGCTCCTAGCTGTGCCGAATCCAGCTTGATCCAGCCACAAGGGGCCAGGACAGGAACCTGGTGGTGGTGCTAGGGTGGGAGCTAGCCCCAGCCCCTTGGTGATTGGGCAAGACTGGGTGACCACAGGCCACCACATGGGTGACAGCACCCAGCAGGTTCCACCTCAGGAGGGAGGCAAGAAGGGGTAGGACAAGCTTCCACCTGGCCTGGAGAGCCCTCTGCAGTGCAGGAGGCTGCAAAGGCCACCAGCAGCACCTGGGGAGCCCAGCACCTGGCAGGGACACCACCACAGCCCGTCAGCTCCCAAGGAGAACAGGCAGGGGCCACACTGCACTGCCCAAGCTCATCTTCACCAGCGGCAGAGGAAGGCAAGGGGGTTACAGAGGTGTGGATTAGGCCAGAGTGATTTGATCAAAACCAGGCTCTTTGTCCCCAGACTACAAGGCCAGCACAGGCAGAGGAAGGGGGGGAGGCGCCCACCCAC